TAGCTTTGATATTGTGATTCTGTTCGCTGTGGTTCTGTCTTACAGTACATGTTGAAGTCAGTGTGCAGTTGAAGAAGTGGCAGCTTTGTCTTTAATCCTCATCTATATGCTGTTTCAAAGCCAAGAATCATACTAACCATGCAGACTCACACACACACACACACACAATTACCTGCTGTAAGTGTATTAAGGCAGCAAGATATTGCTAACAGTAACATCTCAATATTTATGCATTTGCTTTGAAATGAAAAGAGTGATTTGTTTCAGAGAAACCATCATTTCAACCAAACAGCCTTTGCAGCCAATTAGGATTCATGCAAGATGTCAAATACAATCAAAATCCAGTTAAAAATAATTAAGTCATTCCATGGTTTTCCAAAACAATAACCTGCAATATTTATTTATATATATATGTATTTGCCTACAATATTTTAAATACATGAAAAATGCTACTCAGGGACTTCAGTGAACATTTTTGAGTGATGGTGAAAATGAATCATTGAATCTCTTCACTGAAATGGATAGTTTGAGTCACCTTAATGAACTAAAGCTAACAGGAAATAAGTGTCCATCACAAAATGCAGCTGAGCAGATGATAGCCGTTTTTAGTCTTTTTTATTGGTTGCTTTTTGCTTTCAGCACCATACTTGATATAAATGAGCATTAATGCTATCAATGCTTGATGTCAAATTATGCAAGCATACAAAACCACAACGCCAGTGACTGTCAAATCTGTTTTTGAAAAAGTGAACAGTAAAAATAATCATAAAATATGTGGCAATTCACACAACCATTAAAAAGTTTGGGGTCAGCAAGGTGTTTTTTAAAGCAATTAGTACTTTTATTCAGCAAAGATGCATTATTAAATTAATTAAAAGGCCACTTTAAGAGACAAGAGACAAGGCATCCAATATAAGGATACACATCCGATTTCTTTCTTAAGACATAATTAACAGTTTTTTGAAGATACCTGCCAAGACAGGTATTTCGACATAATTTTGTATATATTTGTCCGTTCAAGCGGAAGAAGAGGCAAAACTCAATTTGGTGTTCAAGGACTGTGAGACGCGGCACTCTGTGTGCGCGGGTGCTGAATTAAGCTCTTTCACATCTTTTGTGCTTGAATGTTTAAATTGATGAAGTGTATTTGTTCGTTCAATTGCAAGAAGAAGCAAAGGAGAACTCAATTTGGTGTCCGCTCGTCTGAGAGACGCAACTCTTTGTGTGCGCACTGAACGCAGCGCACGAGTACTCAGTTGAGTTCTTTCGCATTGTGTTTGAATGCTTTAAAATCTCTTGAATGTTTTAATTGGCAAGGTTTAAATAAAAACACGTGCAAATTATGAGCTTGCATGATGATGCATAGCATTGACCCATCAACTATCCTGAGCGTATTTCATGCTGGTCTCCGGGGGGCCCCCACAGCCATGGGCCCCTATAATCGTCACCAGACTAGCGACGGCCCTGCATACAACCATACAAAATCAAAGTTTCTCATACACACAGCTGTGCTGAAATGACCTGTTACACAATCACCAACACAAGGTCACTTTAACTGCAATTTCAGCAGAATCTCTGCTTGGGGAACCCACACATACATCCACACGCACACACATTCACGTAAAGTGAGGGTAAATCCCATTTGTGTTTGTGAGTGTGTGCAAGTGTGCATCGAGTCATTTATCACTGGTGTCCCCTGTTTTTTCAGCCTGCCCCATGGGCTGATGGGAGATATGGCAACCAGTCACTAAAAGTGACATTCTAATCTACAACACCTACATCTAGAGCACACAGGGTTCCTTTCTCTCTCACTCTCGCTCTTGTTTTCTCTCTCTCATCTTTATACTCTCAACAAATACATGGCATAAGCCTATTCTATTCTAAAAGTCAAAAAGTATCTGCTGTATGATTGTTACAGTAATCTAATGGAGACCAAGAATTTAGGCGATATTTTACAAACCAGTGGCTCTCAACTGGTTTTGCTTTAGGACCCAGAACAAATATCCAAAACGCATGTTTATATTCAATTTAAGTGAACACATATTTAACACAGTCTGGATGTATTTTGTTTTTATCTTTTTTTACCTAGTTTATGAGAATGAGGACATGTTGGCTACTTTCTACCAAGCAATTTCTACCAATACATGGATGTTTTTTTCCCTCTCTTATAAGGTCATTAGTCTAACTATATGTGATTATATGATTGTTTGCACTTTATTTTTAGTATTTAGCACTGTTTTTTCACTCATGACCCTATCAGAACAGACTTGTGTCCCATTTTTGGATCGCAACCCACCAGTTAAGAACCATGGGTTTCCATTGATTAGCTGTTATCCGCCATTTCATTCCACTGGCTTAGTATCGGCCTTTCCTCACACACGCACAAACACACGCACCTGTTCTGGATTCTGACAGCCAGCCATAAACAGTCAGAGGCTTCTCTATAACCAGCAGTAACAGTGGCTAAAAACAATGGCTGGTGGATCAAAGCCTTCCCACTTCTCTCTTCTCTCCCCCATCACTACACGCCTTGTTTTTCCCCAGAATCCTCCGGGAATTTTCCGCTGACATTTCCAGCCATGCTCCAGAGCGACTAGCTCTAATTCTCTCCCTGAGCACCCCCTCCAGAACCTCCATCTTACCGCTGGCTCATTTGCCAGGTCTAAATTAGCTCAGACCAATCGGGAAGAATTTGACAGTGCACATTCTTAGCTAGCAACATCTGGGGAGGTGTCACGTGCTTAGCCACTAACCTTTCTCAGAGAACATTAGATTCGGAAATTAAATGTATACCCACGCTAGGTATAATGGTATCACACTGTTTATAGAGTCTGTTTGTTTGAAACCGAGGGACAGTTAACAAGGAAATGACCCATAAGGAGGAACCATGAAGAATGCGCCATAGGTTGAATATATTATAATGTGACAAAGATGTGTGAATGTTAGGCACCTCATTTATAATCACTCTAATTAAATATTTATGGACACACCACAGAAATATGAATATACCCAATTTGTACTTCTCAATACATCCATTTAAATGTTGTAAAACCGCATAACAAATGACTAAAGTTTCTGGTTAGTCAGACAGAAGAGATATGGTATGGAAACTGTTATCAATAAAATGATCAATTAATGCGTTTCATAAAAGATGTGTGTAGTACATTTTAGTTAAGAAAGGGTTGCTAAAAACAACAAAAAAGAGGGTATGCGAGTCTGTAGATGGCAGGAGTAGTTCACCCAAAAGGGTTACAGTAAAATCATTGTGCTCCATTTGACAACTGCACGTCTGTCCCAATACCCACACTTGCTGTCTTTGCACTTGAACACTTATCTACTTATTTCCTTCAAATTAACCAATGGGTTAATCACAATTGCAAGTTTTTAAAAAGCTTTATTTACAGACTTTGTATATATAATACTTTGCACTTTAAAATAAACTTCTAAATTTCTGATCAGTAGTCCCTGACTGTGAATGACACAATTTAATTGTGGTGCTAAAAAGTGATACAAAGTACTTGCAAACATTTTACAAAATACACATACGCATCTTTGTAGCAATAAAATGAGCAACACTTTACACAAATTGTGATATCTAATTAAATTAACTTACACTGCAAAGTTTTTCTCAACATCTTGCGATTTCGGGGCACGTGAGTTCCTGAATGTGATGGATGATGGAATACGCTTAGCCTCGGATTTAGGTGCGTTAAGGGCACAGAGCTTTGCCATTTTCAGACCTGGGACAGTTTTGTGCACCTACTTTTCTGTCACATGCACATGCTCTCAAGTGGCCAAGATGGCAAGTGTGGGATTTGGGACAGGCCCTGCCATAAAAAAAAACAGAAGTAGAAAAAGAATGTTGCATTTCTGCCACCTATTGGACGGGAGAGTGTCATGATGCATGGCGCACAGCAGATCAATGGCGGCTGCCAGAATTTTACTGTACAGTTACTTAAATATTGAGTTGTTTTTCAACAAAACCATTTGGAGCATTTGGAAAATTATGCATTTACTTTTTTGGTGACACTCTTTAAATGCTTTGTTAAGAGTTAAAGTGAATGACAATATACTGCCATCGTACTGAATTTCTCCAACTGGGTATTACATTTTAATTCATTTCATTTTAGTTTTTAGTTTCTCACAAAAGCCTAGCTTGAGAAGACTTGTAGAAATTGCATTGACTACTTGTATGGTTTTCTGTCCTTTGACAGTTCACTACAAACTAATCTAAATCTACCTTAAGCTCCCCAAAAACTAAATAAATAACATCATACAGGTTTGGAAACAAATCAGTAAATTATGACAGAATTTTTGTTTTTAGGTGAAGTGTTCTTTTACATATTTGACAGTGTATCCATTTCTAATTGTAGCATAATGCCCCATTTATATACACTTGTGTGCATGCACTTGAAACTGAAAGCTCTGGAAGTCATGAAGTCATCTCACAATGGAGTGTGAACGGCCCTTCAATCTGTTGAACAGCCTCAGAGAGGGGCCAAACGTGGGAACGAGATTATGAATGAGTGTGTGAAAGAGAGAATGAACACCATTTTACTGCTCTTGTTCCTCTAAATAACCTCTTTATACTGACTGAGGCCAACTCAAACACCCATTCCAATTCAGTGACACACACACACACAACATCCCCTTCTTGTCCACACAAAAACATTCACATTTAGTAAATCAGATGTGAACACCTGCGAAGGGAAACTCAGACTAAATATCAACCAAATCCTACTTCAAAAATCGCACACAGCTAATTAGAGCTCAGCTAGTAGTCTTTGTTTTGTCTTTGCTGATTACTTGGAACAGATTGGAAATAATTTTACGGTAGATGTGTGTGTAGAATGTACAATGTCTCTGTTGATGCATTATATCATGACACCATTTAAATGTGCTAATTATAATTTTTTAGAAAATTTATTTTTATTTAACTTTTATATATATTTTATATAACATTTATATATATATAACATTATATATATATATATATAAACCAGGATGTAGCGTTCCAGAGATCGTGACAGCTTCTTGCCTGTGAGATAAGCGATGGCATCCACTAGTATAAGTCTGTGTAACCAGTAGCTCAGCCCATGTCCAAATAGCACACGCTGCACCCCATCATACAGGCCCAAGTCCTGCACGACGGTAGCATGGAGACCCTGGGGACCTGGGATCACCTGGACTGCCCCACTCTCACTGGGCTGAGTTTTTGCCAACAGGACTGGTTCATACGTGGAATGGTTGAACTGAAACACAGTCCAGTCCTCTCCTGGTAAATGGCCTCGATCCACTTCCGCCCGTGTTATGTAAAGCAGAGGTGAGCGGGGGTTTACGCAGCAGTCTCGAAGTGCAACATTTGTTCGCAATGTCAAAGGGAAACCCCTCAGCTGCAGTGCAGGCTGGGAGTTTTCACTTGCACGGTGAAAGGCAATGACGCCAACACTGTATTCGGCACAGTATTTATCCAGCAGGTCACGGTTCCATGCGTCCATCCCAACATACTTGAGAAGGTTCTCGTAGATGACCAGTGCATAGCGTCCACGACCTTTGTGCGTTAGAGGCGGGATGTCTCCTTTTCCCGGCGCAATTTCGGTGTGGTAACGGAATTGGTTGGATTCTAAAATGGCGATGATGTCCTGTCCCAGCTGAGAATACTGGCTCTCTATAAACACCAACACCACCGGATCCTTACGTGACGGATCGATCGGTTTAGGCGTCCGAGGCTCTGACTGTCGGAAAGGGAGCACCCGGAGGTCGGCACAGTCTAGACCTACGGCGCTGTCCGCGAGGTCCAGTTCTTGGGTGGAGCCTGTGTAAAGGTAGTAGGCGGAGACTAATACGCTGACCATACAGAAGGTGGCGAGGAGGATGACCAGTCTCCTCAGATTCCTCCGCAGCTTGGTGGCCAGATTCATGGCAAACGGCACACATGTGTGGGTGGGAATCTCTGATTGTTCGCTGATTAAGCTAAAGCTGAGAATTGGCTTTTTTGGTAATCATGCTGCAGTCATGTGACCATCTCACAAAACTGGCAAATTCACTTGCAAGACAGGCCACTGAAAAAGTTTTTAGTTGAAAATGTGGCACAATGCTCAACCTACGTCACCAGCTGTTCCCAAAACGAATCAGCATCCAACTAGCGACCCTCCATGTCCTAAGATTTCTCCTGACCCCCAACAAACCTGGAGAGAAGACAGGAAGCAAATTCATGTTTTAGCACAACTTTAAGTAGTTCTGAGATGTGTGTGTCTGTGTGTGTTTTTCTGTCACAAAAGTGTTCATCAAGGGTGTGTATGGATGCTCTTGAGGGGCAATACAGCCGTCAGCCTTCAGGTTGTTTTCTATCAACACTTCACCAGCTGTGGCCAACACTACCCGGGAGGAGTGTGTGATTGGCCACATATAAATAGGAAGTTGGAGGATGAGCCAATAGGAGCCTAAGGGTGGCTCTAAGGGAGAAATTCATCATTTGTCTAATGGGAATCAACTGTCACACATGTACTTTTTGTGCATCAGGTAATCTGCTCGACCGCATTTTGTCTTCAAAGTTGCTTCTGCAGAAAAAGAGATGGCGGCTAAAGTGTACACTTTCTTTTTCCTCTTGTAGACAGCCTAACATAGGTTGGGGCAAATACATCGTGGATGGTTTGTGAGAAAATAAATGATGGGATATATTCTCATTAAATGCAATGACTCTTTCTAAACTAATACATTTAGTACATACAACAAGTGCACTTGTGCACTCTCTGTTTATGTGTGTGTGTGACTATGTGCATGCCACGGTTGGTGTGATATCAGAGTACGTAATTAAAGGGACATGAATTAAACAAGATCGAAATAACAGATTACAGCGCTGTGCAAGAACATCACAGGGGAATTCAAGAAGGTGGGAATGTGAGACCGAGGTGCAGGATGAATTTCATAACGCGAGAAAACTGAGATTACCAAAACAGTGTCCTTCTGCATTTAAGATAAAGGTTTACTTAGAGAGTGGATTATTAGAGATTTTGACATTCTAGCCATTTACATGACACTCTATTTCAAATCACGATTATTTTTGGGAGTGTGTATTAATACTTTACTATTCTACCATGTTTATTGAAACCTGAATAATCAGGGAGTTTAGTGCAGTCTGTCCCACCTGCAGATTAGCCTAATACTTGCTAATACTTTTAAAAGCAGAGTGAAACATTTGAAGTGGTGCTCACAATTTAAAAGGCTCATATATCGACTCATGTATATCATTTTTATATACATCTAACGTCAGCAGACTTATGTACGGGTTATGTTTAGTAAATACCACCCACCTCCTTATAAAAACACTGCGTCTGTGTGAGCTGTCCTTACTAAAATAGTCAAACCAACGTGTTTGCGCGCGCGTGTGTGCGTGTTTCCCCGCGAGGCGGCGCATTCTTTGAGTCGGAAAACATCGCAAAGGACGAGATCTTTTGCCTATTTTAACTTACATTAAAAATAATATTGTATCTCATACATTCTTGGCTCGGTCCTCTCATGTTCAACAGACTAAATACATTAAGAAATTTGGATTAAAAGCCTAAACAAGCTACAGTTGCTGTTTAATATGAACAATTTTACGCAAATAATAACCTGAGGTAATGTCTAAACCAAAAAGAGAAAACGAAAGTCTAACATTTAATAAAAAAGAAACAAACAAAAGGCGAACAAAAGTCATGATGCTCTGTAAGCTAGGAAAAAAACAAATTTAAAAAATCAGATTTTTTTTTCAAATACTTTTCATTCAACCCAAGACACTGATATACAATGGTGACAAACAAACATACACATGTGCTTGTGTTATCGGTATATTGTTCTTCAAAAACTAAACCGGAGACCGTTATTAGTCACGCTTAAAGAACTGATGAAATATGATGAAATGATAATAAAGTAAAAGACCGTAAAAGGCAACGCGAGAAAAAAATTAAACGTCAGATACCGGTAACGTGACATTCCAGCACAGCGCATCTCTAAATCTCTCGCACGAAAAGACGTTCAGCACCCCATTCGGTACAAAGTTACAACACTAAACCTAACTCAAAATAAACCGCACTTTTGCTTTCTCCAGCCGACGAGACCTTACCTTAAACCGAACCTGAGGCACTGCTGAGCGCGAAGCCGTCACACCAAAGCCGCCTCTCTCCGGAACACCAGCTCCTTACGGCTCTGAACCCGAGAGCCCAATCTCATTCACTGATTCAGAGGCAGCCATCTGGAATGATGCGGGGACCGGTTCGCTATTCTCTCCGCGCCCTCTTCCCCTTTCTCCCTTTCTCTCGCTGCGACACGGATTAAAGGAGCGCGCGGGGGGAGACAGGAGGAGAGACAGGACTGGAGACAGGAGGAGCGCTCAAAAGACGAACTGAAGAGAATATCCAGAGAGGAGCGCTGAGACATACGACACCCCTCCACGGTCACCAGTGACTGAATAGTGCCGCTGCCGCTCTGTGCGCTTTAGCTCACCTACAGAGAGAGAGAGAGAGAGAGAGAGAGAGATGCTGAGTGATTGGCACTTTTTATTATGGTAGCATATGTAATGTAATGGTATGATAAGCAGTACGATATTATATGGAAAGTGTGACAAACGCTGAATACTATTTTTTTTATTACGGTATGCCTAATTACTAATTAATTCCTCAGTTTATTCATGTTTTTTTTGTAATAACAGTATGGTAGTATTATTTAAATTAATCATGTACACCTACAAGCAGCTCCGCAAAATAATAAGACATTAAGTCTATACTTAATAAAAATTTGCGTTACTTAGTGTTTGAAAAAAAAAAATTAGTAATTTTAACAGAAAAAAATGTAACAATGCTAGAGTAAAAACATGTTAACTGATTAAGTTACCATACCATATACTGTAAAATGTTATTGTATTTTAAAAGACAATACATGTAATTTTAATGTAAATTGTTAAATCTGTCTTATAAATATTGTAAAAAAAAGAGAGAAAAAAAGAAGAAGATGTAAGTAGTAATTACCTTATAATTATAGAGAATGTGTCACTTATGTTTCAGGCATTTTATGGTAAACTATTGTTAAAATTATGTTTCCCAGAATTCCCTTCATGGGCCATCACATTTGTTTGGATTTTTATAAAAGTTAAAACATATTTTAATCAGTTTTAAGGAAAACAGAGTGTTTATGCTAAATGCATATATTTATGCTTAGTGTGTATACTTTGTTTATTGTTATGTCTCACCATGATGGTGTTTTGTGTTTCAGAAGAGGCCAACTTTGAATTTTAAGCCACTGTTCTGTTGTACGACCTGTGTTATTATCAGTACTGTAACATATTTAAGTATCCGAAAGATGTTGATTTATTGACATTATATCATTCAAATGACATACAGAAACTAGTCACATCTTGTAATGGTTGTTACAGCTGCCAGTTTTATGTATTTATTTATTTATTTATTACAATATAGCAAACATCTAAAATGTAAAAAAGTATGATCCATAATATTTCTGAGACAAACACATTGCCCCTGGTGGATTTATGCCAGTGTGGTGGCGTATAATTGGACCATTTAACTTTCCTCAACAAGCATGCTTGCTTTAAATTCCTTTTATTCCAGACTCTAATAACATTCCAAATAATAAAATTCCAAGATTAGTCATAGCCACAGCAAGGAGGGCTATGGGACAGATGTGAATGAAAAATAAGAATATGTTTGTTAAAAAGACAGATTGTGTTTCCCCCAGTTCTAGATACTTAAACCGTAACATCATTCTTCTTTTAGCATTTAATTCCAATGCTCACTGGAAGCACTCAGTCTGCTTTCCATGAGTAGGATTGTCTGTTCTGCTTTTCGTAAATCAAAACGGTTTGAGGGTTTAAATCAAAATGGAACAGGACAGTGTGGACCAAACTGTACTGCAGAATTAACTACTACTGTAAAGAGATTGATGTGATTTTACACAGGATGAAGAGATGTGCAGTTTTGGTTGATTATTAGAGGGTTTTAAAATTGATAATACAACTTAGAAAGTCATTAGAGACATATTTACAATGCAATACAACAAACATGAGTGCACTGCACAATTAGAACACTGTGTGATTTGATTAGAACAAACCAGCACTCACTATGGGCATGCAAACACATACACACGCTCAAAGTTAAACAGCTATTTAAAGCAGGATGAGAGCTTCTGTTGGATGGCCTGCAAGTCTGATGAGTTGATACAGACAGGAGCCAAAGAATCTCTCTCTCTAACACACACACATACACAGTTCTTAGATACTCTGAAGAGGCAGCATTAGTGTATGCCTCATTTAGGCCAAATGTGATGGTCTGGCAAGTGTTCCTTCCTCTCGCTCTCCCACCACTCCTCTCCATCCCTGTTTCCCTCCCTGTCCATTCCTCCCATTTCTCCCCTCTCCCTCCTTCCTTTCTGGAGCTAATGGGGCTGAAAGCTCCCAGCAGTTCTCTGCTAAAACATGCGTTTAATTTGATTATTTACTACCTATTGTTTTCTTCCCTATAGAGTCTGAAGAAAGTAAAAAAAGAGAGAAGGTGTATGTTTGTGAGAGAAAGACAGAGGGGAATATGTGTGTGAAAATCGTAAATGAGAGAGACGGAGAGAATACTCTGAATGTCTATGTGTGTGTGCGGTGTGTAAAAGGGTAATTGTGTGTGTGACGAGTGTGTATTGTGTGTGTGTGTGACAGGGGAAGCCCAGCTCGTATTTGTTATTCTAATTGAGGCTCCTCAGTTGTCTATGGATCCATTGTGTTGCACTCAAGTCAGCTGTTTAGATTTAAACCCGATAGGACCAACACTTTAACTTATCGAAACCGTCCCCCACATAAAGAAAAGAAAATGATAGGAAACTAGGAACTTTCAAACACCCCCCTCAAATATTAACATGTTTAATAAACTTCCTACTAAACTCTAAACTAAAAAAAGCT